CTTGCCTTATGCTGTAGGAACCCTGAGTCATGATATTAGATTTTCTCTATATCGCCCAGCCCTTGCTGAAAGACGAAAAGATGGCGATTAAACTTCTGCAAGGCGCTTTAGCCTCATGAATAACATTGAAACGGGTCAGGGTCCGTTTTAGGGACGGTCTCTGCTCCTTTTATCCTCTCATGTGATCAGATTGTAAACGCTGAGGGTTTAACGTTGTTTCCTGCTGAAACTTTTCTTCCATTTCCTTTTTAGACGAACAAAAACTCGCTCTTTTGACAACCTGCCCAGCGCCTGTGAGCTGGGCAGCGCCCTGGCTCCCAACCGCCGCTCCAGCGACCCGAGCCTCAACGAGAAGTGGCAGGACCACCGGCGCTCCCTGGACCTCAACATGGCAGTGGGTCCTGAGGGAGGGGGGAACCAAGAGCCCCAGCCCAACGCAGAGGGGCAGAGTCCGGCTGACGGCCCGCGGGCCGCAACCCGACAGGACGCCTCTCTAAGGCCAGCGGGAGGCGAGGCGGAGGAGGCGGAGCTATCTGTGGTGGTGGGTGTGGCTGAGGGACAGATGGAGAACATCCTTCAGGAAGCAACAGAGGAATCTGGAGCAGATTCCCAGAGACCTGCTGCTGGACCAGAGGGGAACGGGGAGCCGATGGAGGATAACGGAACCAACATGCAGAGAGAAGCCTTCGCTAATGGTCACCGTCCTGAAAACGGGGTGACGGAGGCTGAGGAGGATGGCGATTCTTCCCAGAAGGAGGAGGAGCTCCATCCGCCGCCGATGGACAGACCCGAAACACCAGAGGGCGACGTGGAGCAGGAGCCGCCTGCGGCCCATAGAACTTTTCCTAACGGCTTCATGGACGGGTCACCCGAGCAGGAGGATGAAAGCGCTCCTGAACCCGAGCGCGGTGGCTCAGAACTGGAGGAGCAGGTGGAGAAGAGGGCGTCTCTGATGGAGAGCTCCACAGAGACTCTAACGGAAGAAGCCTGCAGCAAACCGCTGCTTCCAGGACAGCAAAGCGTTTCTGCCAACGGTCAGCCACACAGCGACGACAGGAAGCAGCATCCTGGCTTCAGGACGGACAAGGAGGCGGCGGAGCTCGGCTTCAGCAGAACTTTGAACGGGGCCACAAAGCACGCCTCAATCAGTGCCTTTCAGTCTGCAAGTGCTGAGCCGAGCAGGGAGGAGTTATGTAACGGGGACGGCTCCGACGGAGACCCCAACGCGGCGCCGCACTGGTCCAAAGGAAGCGGCGAACGGGCCCCTCTAAGCCGACAGGTCTCGCTGGCGAGCTGCAACTCTCTGATCCTCCACCCCCGAGGCAGCTGCTCCCAGCACCGCTGGTGCCACGCCCTGCTGGGCCGAGCCCCCGTCAGCCCAGAGCAGCCGGCCCGCAGCCACCTGGATGACGACGGGCTGACGCTGCACACGGACGCCATCCAGCAGAGGCTGAGGCAGATCGAGGCGGGACACCAGATGGAGGTGGAGACGCTGAAGAAGCAGGTGCAGGAGCTGTGGAGCCGCCTGGAGAGTCAGCAACATGGCGGCTCTCACAGGATCAACGGAGACGTGGGAGATGAGATGGTGAGATCCTCTTTTCTCTTTAACTCCTCCTGCTGCTGCTGCTGCTGTTCCAGTCCGTCTGTAACCAAGCTCTCTCTCTACGCAGACCTCAATGACCGACTCAGAGTTCAACCTGGACCCAAACTGTTTGTCTCGCTGCAGCACTGAGCTCTTCTCTGAAGCCAGCTGGGAGCAGGTGGACAAGCAGGACACGGAGGTAAGACGGCGAGTCGATGAGGGTGTTTACAGAGAACGGAGGAACCAGAGGGCGTGTCCCGGATTTGATTGGTGCACAGCTCAGTAGATGGGAACTAGGAATGGCTTTGTATGCTTCATGCAGGTGACTCGCTGGTACCCTGATCATTTGGCAGCCCAGTGTTACGGCTGTGAGAGCAGGTTCTGGCTGGCCACACGGAAGCACCACTGCAGGTGAGTGGAGGCTGGTCCAACACTCGTCTCTGAAGTTTTCCATCCGTGCAGGAACCAAATTACTCATCAGCGCAGTGAGAGCGCCTACTCCCCCTCTAGAGCTTTTTGACGTTGCTCTAAAAGCTTTGTCTCATTATAAAACCTCTGGAAGCCCTGACCAGGGGGAGGTCTACACGGCAGGCCGTATTCCACTTCCTCAGATTCAGCTTCTTACTGGGACTCTAACTCCCTCATAGCATAGTGCTGAGGCCTTCTAAAGGGGGTCCGCGACCCCTAGGGAGCAGGGGCGGATCTAGAAAAATATTTATGGGGTGGCAAGAGGGGGGCAGGAATTTT